AGCGCGGGCAGCGCCCCCGGGCGGAAGGGCGCGGCGGCCTGCGCAAAGCTGGCCTGCTTGTTCTCCTGGATGGTCTGCATGGGCAGGCGGCGCAGCGCACCCAAGGCCGGAGGTCCGAAGCCCCCGCCTCCGCCGTAGGGGCCACCCTTGCAGCTCCCGAAGTAGGCCGGCGTCCCGGCGCGGGCCCGCGGCCCGTAAGCGTCCTGGGCGCCGTCCAGCAGCGCCTCGGGCAGCCCTGCTCCGCCGCCGTGCAGGCCTAGCGCGCTTCCCAGCTCGGCCAGTCGGGGTAGCTCCCCGGGGCAGCGCGCGCCCAGCGCAGGCGACAGTGCGCTCGCGGGACTCGGGTACATGAGTGGCGAAGACGGTGCCAAAGCCTCCAGGGCCTCGTCGTCCTCCAATTCGGCTGCCTCCCCGAGCAGTGGTCTCCCGCCGCCGCGGAAGTCGGCCCACGCCTCGTAGTCGTCGCTGGCGTGCGAGGCTGGGCTGGCGGTCCACTTGGCCGCGGCAGGCAGGGACCCTGGGGCCGGCGCGCCCGGAGGGCTGTCGTCGGGGCTTCGCTCCGGTGCCTGCAGCTGCTTCTTCTTGCTTGCCTTGCCCTTGATGCGCAGGAACTTGGCCCCATTGTCCATGGACACAGCCCTGCGCCGCGGGGTCTTGCCCGTCTTTCCACCCTCAGGGTTCAGCATCCACCAGGAACTCTTGCCAGTGCCCTCGTTCTGCACGCGGATGAAGCGAGTGTGCAGTGACAGGTTGTGCCGGATGGAGTTCTGTGGCCGGAGACAAGGGGGTGGAGGTGAGGAGGCCGTGAAAAAGGAATTGGTGAGAGCAAGAGGCGAGAAGAAGGTAGAGAAGAGAGGGTGAGAATAGAGAAGAGGCGGGGTAGGGAAGGGAAGAAATGGGGAAGTAGGGAGAAGAGGGGTGCACATGTAAGTATCAGGTTGGACAAGCCCAGAACACGCACCTCCTGAATCGCACCCGTGCACTCCCCCACCCCACCTACAAGGAGACACAGCCCAGAGGGTGGGGCTAGAGCTTTGGTCTTGCCCTTCCCTGGAGGTGTGGCCAACCCTGGGGCTACTCTAAGCCAGCTGGGGACCAGCAGCAGACAAGCGGATCCCCTCTCCCCAGCTCAGCCATCGGCACCTCAAGGGGCTAGCCGGGCTGCCAGGGCCCCCCAGCAGATTATGTAAGGGCTCATGCCGCTGCGGCTCATTTGTCCGCCACCACCCCCCCAGCCTGGCGTGGCGCCAGAAGCCCGAAAACCCAGGGCTCCAGAAATCAATCTCGCGGTGACTGATTAAGCCCTGTTTAGAACTAATTGCTCTTTCGTGTGTGGGGAGAATAAATTACCTGCTTTAATTTCGTGTCTTTAAAATGCAACTGCAGGTAGAGAAGACTGTTAACCCTTTGGTGGGAGGGCCTGGCCGGGAAAGCAGATAGGCCAGGACGGCCCCTGGAGTGGGTATAGGCTGGAGACTTTTCAGAAATCTCTCCCCGACTACTCTAAGCTCCTGAAAACTTTCAAGAAACCTTGGATCCCACTAAACCCCTCAGCAGTCACCTTTGCCCACGCAGACCTCAGACTCCACACACACCTGCCTTAAGGAGTCAGCTCTCCAATGTGCTGGCCCCAAATGATTCACCTGCCACAGCTGCCCGCAGCTCCCAATCCCCACAAACTCCCCATTTACAGACAAGATCTAGGCTCAGAGAGGTGAAGAGGTCTAAGTCTCCATAGCTTTCTGATGTCCCTTCGTACGTCCTTGGCTTCATCTTTGCCAACCCTGCCCATATCCTCTTCTTAATTTCTGCCAATCTGCATGCAGTGCCAATCTGCAGTGCTCCCTGGCCTGGGCCAGGCTTAGCCTAGAGACACAGGAAGGCAGGAGAGTCCACAGGTACCTAGAGTAGAACTTCTGCTGAGCCTCCCACCGGGGGGCCTGGATCTCCCTGCTCAGGTACTGCTGTGGAAACAGCCTGGGCTCAGCTGTCAGAGGCCTGGGCAAAGTGCCAGGCTCTCTGGGCCCTAGCTGGGTGCCTGTGGCTGTGTATCAGTCTCTGAGCTACTCTGAAAAAATGGCTAGTCATAACCACCTGATAAAGCTGTTAGGTCATTCTATGAGCTAACGAGTGTGGTTAAGTATCGGTGAACATAAGTGCTCATAAATGTAGGTAAACCCCTCACTCTGGCTAGAAGACCTCACCTGTTAGGTCACTCAACAGACCTCCTGTCTCTAACTCCTTCATAACCTCCCCTGAGCACAGCTGTGCTGCACACCAACCTCTTGGGACGGTTGGCATTACCCCATTTTATCTACCAGGTCACAGAGACCCAGAGGCATGATGTAACTTGCCCACAGTCCCACAGCTAAGCAGCAATGCCAGGGACTGCCCCGGGTCTCCCCAGGTCACGGACCAGCTCTTGACCCCTTCACCCACTGAGCCACACGCATAACCAGCCACTATATTGCGCTGTGGAGACCACAAGTATTCAGGAGGGCTCTCCTGCTGCCCAGGGTATCCTCTAACCTCATCCCAGCTTCTGGTCTTAACTTGACTCTTTGGGGCTTCAGGCTCCCTGTCTGGCACTTTCTGGCCTTGGGAGCAACAGCTGGGGCTTGCCAGCCTTGCTCTGCCTGGCTTCTCCTGGGGCCTTGAGAGAAGAGGAGCTCAATCACCAGGGAGTGGTGTTCCCTCAAGTGGATACCCCTTCCCCATTCGGTCCCTGCACCTGGCTCCCTGGCCCCTCCCCCACACCTGTGTTCAGGGGCCCAGGAGGCCTCAATTCTCATCCCCCAGAGAACTCTCTGGCTTGCCAAAGGCTCTACCCTCCTATCTCCTCCCTTTTCCAGCTGGAGGTGGGTCAGGCAACACCTCTTTATCAATGTCATTTTGTGCTAGACTGGCTCAGAGTGCTGGGGGAGAAGGGAGGACACCACCCAGTACCAGCACCTAGTCAGTACCAGCCTGTTCAGCCCTGGGAGCTCAAAGAGCTTCTTATCTCACACAATCATGTCAGACTCCATAGAGTCAAGATTTGAGATCCCTACCTCAAGATGAGAGAGAGGCTCAGAGACTGAGTTGCCTGGGAATACCCCTGAGATACCCCAATCTCACACAGCCTGTTAACCACAAAGCCAGGCATTAATTTCAGATTATTCTTACTCTGAGTCTAAAGGACATGATATTCTGCCATGGGACAGAAAAGCTGGTCAGACAGTTCTCAAGGAATCTTAGGAAGCCAGTACTCCAGTGTTCCTCAAACTTGCCACAAAAAGTATCCCCAGAAGCCTGCAACACAGGAAGGCTCAGGGCATGCTGCAAGGTCAGAATTTCCTACAGAGACTCGTGATTCTGTTTTAGAGTTCAAGGGAATTTTACATGTGCTTCATAATATATCTTTCTTTCTTTCTTTTTTTCGGGGGGTGGGGGCAGTGCTGGGGGTTGAACACAGGCCCACTGAGCTATTCCCTGAAGCGCCACAGTTTCATTTCTTTATAAACATTATAAAAATATTTTAGATTACATGCTCTAGGTCAAGACATGATCCAGACCTACAAAAGTTTGCAGCCTTCTATGATCCCCTCCAGCCAGGAACATGGGAGTTCCAGGCCCAGCCTGACATGATGGTTGATGTCAGAATAGTGGGTGTGAGTGCAGACCTCCTGACCCCAGCCTGGTTCTCTTCTCAGTCTACCAAGCCTGACTTAGGACAAGTCCCTCCTCCTCTCCAGGACTCAGTTTCCCTCCCTATACACTGATGACATAGTCCAGTTGTACTCTGAGGACCTTTCCGGTTTGACACTGAAAATTCTTGGAATCATATGGTCTAGAGTTCTCAAACATTTATATATATATATATATATATATATATATATATATATATAGCATTGGAACTCTTTTGGTAAATGCAATCTAATGCAAAAACCAAAGTACTAGGCCCTTGAACCATTTTGACAAAGGGTAGGATTATCTGGAGCCCTGTATACTCAGTACTTTCCCACCTCTGAAAAAAACACCCTTAGGGAGGGATTCTGCAGGCTAGATGGATGGGACAGCTGAGGCCTGGGAAGGTATCGTGCCTTAACCAGCGTCATGCAGGGAGGTGGCTCAGAGCTGCATGAGGACCTATGCCTCTGATTGCTGATCTGGGCTCTGCACCAGGCATGCACCAGGGCTGTGCCCAGTGAGAGAAGCCCAGGCCCTTCAACCCAGTGTGGCTTCTCTGGGCCTGGCTACCTGGTACCAACCAGAGCTCTCCACCAAGATCCAGTGGCAAGTACTGATCCTAAATCTGGCTTCCACCCAAAGCCTCCTGGGAGGCCAGAGGCCATGGAAGTGAGGGAGGTAGAGGAGGGAGATGCCTCTGCCAGGCAGCAGTAACCAGGGCTCCCTCTTCAGCGTCGCCTAGCAACCCACCACCACAGCCACAGCCCTAGCAAACCTGGGCTCCCCTGGTGCCCAGAGACGGAGCTGGCTTCTGAGGCCTCCCACTTCCTATGCCTATATTCAGGCCTGGTCCATGTTCCTAGGGAAGACAGGACCTCCCTGATTTGAGGCCCCAGGGAGATCACCTGGGGGTCTAGGGAAATAACAGTGGGTTACACCCTGTGCCCATCCCATTCTCCTTCAGAACCTGGGCCAGGAAGAACAGCACCCCACACCTCACCCATCAGGGAGAGGGAACTGGTGAGGCTGGCACAAAACAAAGTACATTGGTCCTGGTGTTGGATCTGGATGCCAGCTTCAACTCCAAACACCATGAAGAGTGCAACCCTGGGGCAAAATGCTTTGAAGCTCAAGCAGCTACCTGCTTCCACCTTCGCTTCCCTGCAGCACTCCACACAGCAGCCAGAGCGGTACTTTAAGTAACAGGGTCCTTGCCACGCCCTCCATCTCACTCAGACTGCCATAGCCCACAGTCCCCTCCATGACCTCGCAGTGTCCTGCTCCACCCCTCTGTCTGTTCCTGGAATCTGGATCCTTCTGTTCCTGGATCCCCCTTCTCCAGATGCCCCACAGACCTTGCATCTCTTTCAAGTCTCTACTCAGGGTTAGGAGGCTCCATCTGCAATAAGGCCCATCTGACCACTCTTAAAAACTGCTCCTTGGGGCTGGGGATTTAGCTCAGCGGCACAGCGCCTGCCTGGCAAGCACGAGGTCGTGAGTTCGATTCCCGGTACCGGAAAAATAAAACAAAACTGCTCGTCTTCCCTGCCATCCCTTACTCTGAATTTTTCTAAAGCAACTGTCACTTTCTAAATGAATACACATTGGACATTCCTAACCCCCAAATCCTCAATTTGAAGTGCTCCAAATCTTGAAACTTTTTGGGCACTGGTGTTTAAAATGTTTCCGATTCTGCAGCATATGCAAGTTCTTCAAAATCCAAAAACCTCTAAAATCTGAAATACCTGTGGTCCCAAGCATTTTGGATAAGGGATACTCAACCTATATGTAATTTATTTATCTTTTAATTATTGTCTGGCTGCCCTTCCAGTAGAACATAATGTTAAGAGGGCAATGATTTTTGTCCTCATTTTTTTTTTCTGTATCTCACACTTGGCACATAGTGGGCACTTAAAAGTGTTCAGAATTAATGAATGAGTGAAGAAAAAAAGCATAATACTATGCTATGCAGGCAGCTAAATAAGACTGCCTGGGCTGGCACAGATTAGGAGCTTTTCCAAAGTAGGCTGAGGAGAGACCACAAGACAGAATGATGACCCAGTAAGGTGTTGGAGAAAGTCAAGAACAACATGAGGTG